AGGCGGACACAAGGACCAACAAGACGGAGACAAAAAGGAGACAAAAGATAACACAAGGGAGACAAGACGGACACAATGATCAACAAGAAGGGAGACAAGAAGGGAGACAAAAGGAAACAGAAGGGAGACAAGACGGACACAATGACCCACAAGAAGGGAGACAAGACCGGAGACAAAGAAAGAATGAAGGGAGACAAGGCGGACACAGTGACCAACAAGAAGGGAGACCAAGGAAGACAAGCCAAACGGAAGGCGGACACGCTGTCCGGCAGCAAGGCGGACACTCTTAGAAAGCATTTAGAACCCCTAACAGTAACCTGTTGGGGGAAGTACAGAAATCACCGGGGAGACAAATGAATAGAAATGCTGGAAAGGGGAAAGGGCGGATGCCAGCAGTGCAGGCACCGAACCTGGAAAACAAAAGTAAACAAACCACATGGGAAACAGGTGAATAGAAATGCTGCATGGCCAGCGGAGAAGGGCGGACACCAGCAGTGCAGGCACCGAACCTGGCAGACAAAAGTGAAGATTGAAGAAATAACTTTAAAGACAAACGAATTGAAATGCTGCATCGCCAGCGGAAAAGGGCGGACACCAGCAGTGACACACTTCGGAGACAAATGAACAGAAATGCTACATGGCCAACGGAAAAGGGCCGACGCCAGCTGCGACAGACCTGGGAGACAAATGAATAGAAATACTACATGGGCTAGTGGAAAAGGGCGGACACCAGCAGTGACAGACCTGGGAGATAAATGAATAGAAATGCTACATGCCCAGCGGAAAAGGGCGGACTAGCAGTGACAGACCTGGGAGACAAATGAATAGAAACGCAAAGGGCGGACGCCAGCAGCGACAGACCTGGGCGACAAGTGAATAGAAATGCTAATAAATGCTACATGGCCAGGGGCGGACACCACCAGTGACAGACCTGGCAGACAAATGAATAGAAATGCTGTATCGCCAACGGAAAAGGGCGGACACCAGCAGCGACAGACCTGGGAGACAAATGAAAAGAAACGGTACATGGCCAGCGGAAAAGGGCGGACACCACTAGTGACAGACCTGGGAGACAAATGAATAGAAACGCTACATGGCCAGCGGAAAAGGGCGGACATCAGCAGCGACAGACCTGGGAGACAAATGCATAGAAATGCTACATGGCCAGCGGAAAAGGGCGGACACTAGCAGTGACAGACCTGGGAGACAAATGAATAGAAATGCTACATGCCCAGCGGAAAAGGGCGGACGCCAGCAGTGACAGACCTGGGAGACAAATGAATAGAAATGCTACATGGCCAGCGGAAAAGGGCGGACACCAGCAGTGACACAAAGGGCGGACACATCTTAAGAAAGAATTGAGAACCCCTAACTTAAACTGTTTGGGAATAAAAAAGAATGCTTGAGAACCAGCCCAATGTCTGATCGGCGTATGTGCCAACCGTCAAGTTCGAAGCAGCAACTGTGGAGAGTAAGCAGAGACGACTTGATTCTGTTACTCTTGGAAAGAGGTTGTGAATTCGGAGGCTGCTTTCGATTTTGTTCGCAAAAATGCCAAAGGTGTAGTTCTGAACATTCTCCATCAGCGTGCGCTCCAGCATGTATGGAATTGCAGCAAAAACCATGAAGCGCAGGGCATGTCGAGCAAATTCTGTGGCTGAGGTACGCGCTTCATGGGTGCAGTCAACCGTCAGCAAAAGGTTCTTGCGAAGCTGAGCTGAGCGAATGAAGGCAACGCCCAAGTGCCCCAATGCCAACTGCGTCTGGACCATGGTGACCATCAGCTCCAACGCGTTTTCGCGAAGACTCGGCAGAAACAGTTCCACCGTCTCAAATGCTTCCTGGACGAAAACACGAAGTAGTAACACACAATCGTCCTAAGAATCCCTGATTACCTGACTAAGGTCTCCGACTCCAGATTTCGTTGTGACTCGTTTCAGTTCCACGCACCACCCGCCTGGAACTCTTGCACTGGAAGCAGCCGCACCAAAACCATAGGGAGAAGAAACACGCCAAAGCAAATGCCCAACACCGCACCCAGCTTTGCCCATTTCTTCAGCAGCTTCATCCCAGCCCATGCCTGAGCCAGCTTTCACACCTTGTCTACGCCTTGGTGTGTGCCTTTTATCGTAAGGGCCGGTTCTATTTATATCTGTTGCCTCCATGCAATCGAGATACCATCAATAGGCTTGCAATGCAATGCAGGGCTTGCCTGGGATGCTAAACTCTGTATGAGTCTATATAATTCACAATGTCTTACTTAGCTTTCAACACAAGCCTTGAATGCAGGACTTTGTTTCACTTTATGAGACTGACACGTCTGCTCTTTTTTTTGGCTAGGTGCAGGTGCAGCTTGAAGTGTGCCACCAATGAGAGCAGGCATCCGGAAGCAAGAGCTGTGATTGATGCAATCACGATTGACATGATGGGATGCTGTGGGAGCATCAGCACATACGAGAAAACAAAGCTAAACCTTGAGATGTTCAGGTTCTCAGGCTCCAAAATATGTTTAGTTGTTTACCAGTGTTTACTCCTGTTAACTTGAGAGGAAAAATAAAGAGATCGAATCCCTGGCTCTCCATCCTGTTTCCGACCTTTTTGCTAAGAATGTCAAACAGTGCCAGTACATTTGCAAGTCACACGCTCAGCTCAAAATATTGCAAATGACCCTCCATTCGCATGCTTCGATCCATGATCGCTCCTGTCCCGACCAACAACGCCATCAAGTGGGTGGCCATAGCAGACTCATTGGCAGGGATGGACCACCGTAAAAAGGCAGCAGGAAGAGCAACTCCTGCGCAAACCGAGTACGATTTTGGATCATCTTCAAAGACTGTCCGCAAAGGCCGGAGTAACAAAGTTGGCTTTTCAACTTTGTCTTTTTTATACCCTGGGGGGTAGGCTGCTATTAGAGGTAGGTTACCTAGGTAGGTACAGTAGCTAGAGGTAGCTAGCACCTTACTAGTACGATACTAGGAACTGGACGCAGGATAGCTCACGCATGCTCACGCTATTCATTTGGTTTCTAGATTTTCTGGGAAGCTTAATAATAAGTGCACTGTGTCTCGTGCAAAGACTGCTAAAGCCGGCAACGATCCTGTCCTACAACATCGGTGCTCAATACGTCCAGCACGCGCCAGGTGCTTGAACTCCATACTCCAGTCATGACCGAAATCAAACCGCCGCTTCTGCTATGCTACGCTTAAATATCGAGCAATTCATACACCCTCAACTCTGACTCAACTCTATTTGTTTTCTTGTATTTTTAGAAGCTACGCTACAAACATGTTGATTAGCTGTTTGAACAGGTCAGAGCGGGGATGCCATTTTTGACATGTTTACCTTGGCGACATGGCTGCGCAAAAAATAGAAAGGCCGGGAAGGTCTACAGGCCCAAATACAGTAGAGGCGTCCTTTATCTTCCTTTCAGTCTTTTGTCATGACATGTCATGACTATTCCCCATATTTTGCTTCACGCGTATTTTGCCTGATTCAGTGCGCTCTAGGTTCACTTGAAAGTTCGGAAATGTCGAGATAATGAATACTGCCCATCAAACACCACTCTCAAAGAAATCGAGTGCTCTTGGCCTATCAGGCAAGTGGTTTGGCCATTCCATATCTGGTCCTGATGGCAGTCAGAGAGTCTCCGATTCACAGCCACATTGTGCCAAAATGCAGCCCAGTCTCACATACAGAGTTGCCAAAACACTCAAACAACATGCTGGTTGTCCCATTCAAAGCGGATGTGTGCAGCGTCAACAAGGAAAGAATGGGATGTCTAACGCCTGCTTGTGATAAACACCCTGATTATTCATGATTTGCCAAGTCTCCACCATTCAGCAGTATGACTTGCCGACATTCGACATTATCCGAGATCACTCTGAGATATATATCCGCCGACCCCGGCCGACGCAAGGGGGAGCGCGCCAGGGAATAATGATAGATCCGCCAGAACTCAATGGGTTAAAGCCGTGGCGGAGGGGTGGTTTCAGATGCTTTTGGGAGGCTGGAAAGCTTTTGGCAGGCTGTTGGTGGAAGCTTTTTGGGAGGCTGGTTAGTGGTGGAAAATGCTAGCAAATTGTCTTTTTTCTAGGGATCCAGAGCGTCCGTTTGACATCGAACGTCCGAGGACATGGGGCTCGTTTGGAGCAGAACTCAATGGGTTAAAGCCGTGGCGAAGGGGTGGTTTCAGATGCT